AAAATTTTATGATATATTTAAATTTATATTTTATTCAAAAATAAAATCATTATTTTTTTTAAAAAACACATAAAATTATATTATAACATCGACAAAGACAAATAATAAAATAGAACATTAAAATCGAAATATGTCTCGCTGCATTATACGAATGTTCTTCTAGTATATATATTTATTTATTTATTTATATATTTACTGTTACTAAACATATATATAGGAATGTAAATTTTTTTAAAATCTTTTTTATTTTATTAAAAATCGATCCTGAGGATTCTGTGTAAAATTGGCCCCACTAAAAGTGAATTATTGGTTATTTTTTTGTCAATTTCCGTTTAAATAGGGGGTTGATATTCATGACGTCGCTTTCTCACCCCCTTCTCTCACAAACTCATTCCCTCACTCACATTGAACGAATTTTTTTTTTCAGATGATAATTTTAAATTTACACTTTATATTCCTATAATTAGTAAATATTTTACGTTTTTTATTTTAAAATTTTTTATTTTACACCTTTATTAAATTAACATACATAATCGTATATTAATTAAAACATGTTTAAAAAATACATTTTTATTTTAACAAGTTACACCATTATAATCATTTCGTTAATACTTTCGAAAAAAGTCCAATATTAAATAGTTTTTTGACTTAATTATATTATTATATATTATATATACTGTGAAAAAAATACTTTTAATATTTATGATTTATACTTTTATAGTTCTTTATTTAATTTATGATACATCATTTATTTTTGCACCATTATCACATTAAAATACATAATTTTATATTAACTAAAATTAGATCTAACAACTAAATTAACCTTGCAGGAAACATTTTCATATCCTTTATTGATCTTGTTCATCTTACATACTCATTTTTTAATATACTTGTTAATTTTTAAATTATACTTCATATTCTCTAGTTAACAAACGAACATAAACGAACACGAACACACCTGATTTTTAAACGAACGAACACGAACACAAAGATTTTCGTTTGTTTATTGTTTGTGTTCGTTCGTTTGTTCGGTTAAGTTTTTCATTTTATACCCTATAATTAGTTAATTAATTTACTTTCTTTCCTTTTAAATTTTTCATTTTATATCTTGATCAAATTAACATACATAATCGTATATCAATTAAAATATGTTTAAAAATACGTTTTAATTTTAACAAGTTACACCATTATAATCGTCGCGTCAATCCCTTCCAAGTTGGGTTCCTTCGACTCGAGCCACTTGACGCACTCGGGTTCTTCCTTCCATAAACTGTAGCCGTTGAAATCCGAGACCTTGGTTTCTTTTTTGGTTATCTCGTTCAGAAGTAGCTGCAGAGGCCCGACTGTGTAGATCTGAGGGAACATGGATTTAAGCTCTTTGACGAGGTTATCTTCTAATTCGTCGAAAGTATGAACGATGATGTGCGAAACTTTATCGACTACCCGAGCTGCTTCGAC